TCGGCACTTGCCGCTGTTTCCTGGCAAGTGTCCTTTGACTCTAATAAGTTTAATGATGTGGGGGAAGGAGTAGCATTTTTAGCCCTGTAGCTCCATTTACAAAGGTTTCGGCTGAAATGTCACAGCCATCCGTCCACACCACAGGAAACTTTGGAGGATGCTCAAGTGCTGCTAGGAGAAGGAGGGAGAGGTGGAGCTGATCTGAAACATGTACGCTTCTCTGTTGATCCTGACACCCAGCAACGTCTGCTCTACAGAAATATGATAATTTCCCCAGCCTTGCAGCAAACTGTCTCCTGCCGGTTTATCTCAACGCAGCGCCCGTCTCCGCAGCCGAGAGGCCGCCAGGACTTTGCCTCTCTGCCTCCAGCGGCTGCAGGTTCCTGCGAGGTGGATGCCCTCCCGCCGCCGGCAGCAGCTCGGACCCCACGCGGGGGCACCTGCCCACGCCGGGGTAGCAGCTCCTGCCATCTCTCTCCGGGCGCAGGCACTCCTGCCATTCCGCTGCAGCCGGCAGCGGGAACCAGAGACGCTTTCCAGGCAGGGTTTGATCCTGATATTTGTTGCCAGTTAGGGGAGTGTTCTCGGGGAAAAAAAAAAAAAGAAGAGAGAGAGAGAGAGAAATGGAAAGTGTGTCACGCCATCACACAGCTCTCCCCTTGCCGTGTGCCGGGAGAAATGGCCGTACACAGGCAGCTCCTTCCATAATTTACAGCTACTATAATAGAGATGACATATTGAAAGCTATCTTCTATAATTACGCTGAAATACATTTTTTGCTGTAGGCAAAAGTACTGTAAGGGTCCCAGGCCTCCCAGAGCAGCTGGGAACCTGCTTCCCAAGTTCACAGATGTCTTCTGAATTCACCCCAAATTGGGGTGAAGTGTGGCTGCTCGGAGGACACCACCAGCCCCACGGAGTGCTGGCTGGCACTGAGCCCCTGAAGACTCTTTTGGGCCATTTCCTCTTTTTCTTGCGCTCGTCTGAGGAGTCTTGATGAAGCATTAAGGCTCGCAGGAGCATCCCCACTCCTACAAGGTTTCTGAGGAGGTTAACAAGGCCATCACTTATAACCTGACATTATTAATAATGTCTTGGGCACCAAGCAGAGACCTGAAAAATAGTACTGAAAAAGGGATCAAGTAGCTCGGATGCTATAAATAAACAAGAGAAGAGACAAAGCATCAGAGCCTTCTGAGCTCACTTCCACTCTGCTGCACTGAAGTAGCTCTGCAGATGGGAGGTGCTGGTGGAGATAAATTAAAACCAGGCTCTCTAAGTAGCTGTAACCAAACGGAGTCTCGTTAAGCAATTCAAGTAAATTCAGGGAAGGAGTTTTGCTTCTTGAAAGCAAGAAACTCCCTTTAGCTTTCCAACATCCAATTTTTGATACTATATTTGTGGAGAAATATTTCTCATAGAGAAGACATATCTGAAAGTATTTTTAATGCAACAGTTGCCATTTTTATTGTACTTTAAAATTGAATTCCCTGGATCTGCAAACAAGGGGACACGTGGCAAGCTATGTGCCCGAAATGTTCTTTGAGTGCCAAATACTTGAATTCGGCTGTGCCTGGGGACAGTCGGAGCCACTCTCTTGTCTCAGGCAGGGAGTTGCCTGCGCTACCTTACCTGTGTGCATCATCTACTGACTGAGCCAAAGCTGGTGCTTCTGCTGTCGGTCCGGGTGGCTGAACCCAAGCTTTTGCGTGCTGAGATTGTCCAGGCAGCTCAGCAGACGACACGCAGGAAGGATGCGGTCCTGGTGCGGCGAGGCCGGCAGGAGCAGGCACCGGTGTCCAGCTGCCTGCCCTCCTCAGGCCGGGGGTGCCGTGCTTCCCTAGGCGCTCGGAGCCCACTCCTGCACCAGGCGGGCGAGCTGCTGTGCCGGATCTGCCTTCACACAGGCCAAAGCTTTGGGATGGGAGGAGGAGAAACAGGTCAGCTGGGACAACTCCTGCTCTCCCCGGGTGAGCGGAGGGTGGCCGGGGGTGCTGAGAGCAGCGACCCCATCTCTTCAGCATGGTGAGAGGGGACGGCGGCTGGTCGCCTCCGTGAGCTTTGCTGCCTGAAGTGTCAAAACAGAAAGAAAGAAAATATGCAAATGGGAGGCAAGGATGAGATGTGTCGAACTCCTTAACCTGGAGCTCAGAAAGTCTTGAGGAAGTCAGGGAGCAGCAGCTGGCATGAGGAGCCGTGGCGTCTGTGCTGGCGTGGAGCGGCGGTGAGCTGGCATGGAGGGGCGGGGGGTCTGGGCCGCGAGCTTGTGCTCCGGCACTGGCGGTCGTCGGCGGGAGAGGGCCGTTTTCACCACGGCTCACCCAGCCTCGCCGGAGCGCTGCCTCCAAACGGGTGCTGCAAGGATGTAAATTAGCCTGTAATTTACTTTCAGTAGTGTAAAGAAAAAAAAATCACTTTGCCTGAAGTGTATGCATCTTTCTTAAGGGTGTACCCAGATTTTAATTATCTAAATGTAAATACTTAACGAATTTTACTTAGAGTAATGAGCTAAAGTGCACACTACATAAATGAGATGTTCTAATTAATCATGTATGAACTACTGGTTTAAAGAAAAGCTATGTGAATTCTGCGAATGTTGGGCTATTGCCAAATTGCTAATCAGCATTTGCATTCATAGATGGCTTCACTTAATAAGTTGTGAGACGTTCAGCAAATGTTATAGGAAATTATGA